ACCTGTGTGCCTTGTGCAAAAAACTGGTAGTTTAATTTTATCTTTTATTATTGTCTGTTCTAAATAATTCAAATATATGACATCTATTTTTAGATCTTGGTAATATTAACCAAGTTTTCCCTTTCTTGAGTTGTTTGTTGAGTGCATACTTGTATGTCTAATTAAAAAAATCAATTAAAACTGCCCATTTACTGTATTTCAAAATTTTGTAACTCAAATATATTTTAGGATTGATATTTTGTGAGAATTAAAACTGCCCATTTACTGTATTTCAAAATTTTGTAACTCAAATATATTTTAGGATTGATATTTTGTCAGTTCGTAGCATTTACTTAGTGTAATTTTAAATAAAAAAAATGTTCAAACTTTCATTTTTGCTCAGCTCTAAATAATGTTACCAGTCAACAATGCATTTTCAGATATTTTTTTAGAATATTTCTGCCCATTATAAACATAGTATATATAAATAAGAAATATAGTTTATAATTATCTTTGCTTTGTTTCTCAACTTAATATCCATCTTGGGTTGAGGTTTCATTATTACAACCTTTTATGATGTCATGTTGTGTGAACTGATGAAGTACTACTTTGAAAGTTTAAATGCCATTGGATATACCAGAGTATTGACTACTTACATCAGTATAGGTTAAACAGAGTGGTGCGAGTCGTAATTTATGATTTTGTTGGAAAGTGACTAGATGGAATTCCTGTACGGACAAACAAAGGAATTTAATGGGAAGATTATAAGACTCGGAAACAAACCCCAGATTGGGAAATTTTTTTTATAGCTTGTTAGACATTTTTTTTTACTCTAAAAAAATGTTGTTGTTTTTTTAAACCAAAATTAGATACTACTTAGTAAGTTTTCTTCAAGTGTTTAAGTATTTCCACTGTGGAAATAAAAAATCAAATCAAAGTATATCAGTTACACCCATCTATTCTGGAAATAACTAAGAGAGATTTTTCTTTTACTGTTTGAAGTAAATATTTAACTTTAATATATGGATTCAGAACTTTGTGTTCAGCATATAAAATATTTCTAGACCTTAGTAATAGATATATTAACAAGATTTCCTGAGTTTAATATCAATTGTTTTGAAGACGTGTTATTTTTATTGTCTTATCTAATTACGAAGGGCCGATGTGTAACACATTTAACTTTAATATATGGATTCAGAACTTTGTATTCAGCATATAAAATATTTTTAGACCTTAGTAATAGATATATTAACAAGATTTTCTGGGTTTAATATCAGTTGTTTTGAAGACGTGTCATTTTTATTGTCTTATCTAATTACGAAGGGCCGATGTGTAACATATTTAACTGCAATTTGTGGATTCAATGAGCATAAACTTTATGCTCTTTTATTTCAGCTCTACATGTTTCAGTTGTTCCGAAGCTTAGCTTACATTCATCTTTATGCTCTTTTGTTTCAGCTGTTCCGAAGCTTAGCTTACATTTATCTTTATGCTCTTTTGTTTCAGCTGTTCCGAAGCTTAGCTTACATTCATCTTTATGCTCTTTTGTTTCAGCTCTACATGTTTCATCTGTTCCGAAGCTTAGCTTACATTCACCTTTATGCTCTTTTATTTCAGCTCTACATGTTTCAGCTGTTCCGAAGCTTAGCTTACATTCATTCTTTAGGAATCTGTCATCGGGATATCAAGCCACAAAATTTGCTTCTGGATCCAGAAACAGGAGTTTTGAAGTTATGTGATTTTGGAAGGTGAGGGAAACTTGGAGAATATTTAAACCAAAAATATAATTGAAATTTGACAATTACTGTTAATATAAAATTTTTTATTGACAAAATTTGAATTATTTTTTATAAATTTCAGTTATTGTATTATTATTATTATTAATATATATCAGTTATTAAAAACTGAAATTTTTGTGTAGCTAATAGCTATTTTTACTTGCTCTATGCTTTTTAGTTTCCTTGACTATAAACAGGTTGATTAATAATTGTTTGAAATACCTTAAAATAGTGTTTTTTCTGTTAATATTATTTTTTATTGTAATAAAATAAACATTTTTGTGACATTTTGTGAGAAAGGACAAGATAGTATCATTGTTAGTTTTGTGTATTGTTACCATAGTGAAGATTTAATTATTGTAAAGGCTAAGCCAAAATCTGTTTATTATTTTGAAAAAGTCAGCTTGTTGATAAAAACCGAGTAAAGAATTTGTTTTCAACTCTTTATCATTAAAATACTACATGTATTTAAATATTTCAAATAAAAAAAACTTAAGTGCTGAAAATTAAACTTGTTTTAATATATTTCTTTTGTTTCAGTGCTAAAAACCTTGTTAAAGGCGAACCAAATGTTTCATACATTTGTTCACGCTATTATCGGGCACCAGAATTGATATTTGGTGCCACTGACTACACAGCGATGATTGGTGAGAACTTACGTAAATTTCTGTTATTACCATCATAGCAACTGTAGAAGTGGGAAGAAAGTTCTAAAAATAAATAATTAATTTCAACTTTTTCTACAGACAGTAGTATTTGACAATAAGTGTAACATAATCAAATGTTTGGTTGCTTAAATTGTAATTTCTGTACAATAAGAGTCAAGAATTCAGCATGCTGTAATAACAGAATTATATGGTTTAATGTGTATTTTTTGAGTGGTGGAAATTTTACTTTAACTTAATTCTTTTTAATTTATATTTAGAGAATTAATAGCTGAAAATTCAATTTAATAAACTAAAGTTTTTACCTCGAGTATCAACGTCTGTTCTTTTTCACATACTGTAACTGAGCAGTGTGTGTATATTTTACTTTAAATCAGGATTAAATCGCAGTAAGATAATTTACTTTAAATCAGGATTAAGTCACAGTAAGATATTCTACTTTAAAACAGGATTAAGTCACAGTAAGATATTCTACTTTAAAACAGGATTAAAAGTAAGATATTCTACTTTAAAACAGGATTAAGTCACAGTAAGATATTCTACTTTAAAACAGGATTAAGTCACAGTAAGATATTCTAGTGACTTAATCCTGTTTTAAAGAATATCCAGCATACCTTCAACCCTGTAATATTAATATCCAACATACCTTCAACCCTGTAATATTATTATCCAGCATACCTTCAACCCTGTAATATTATTATCCAGCATACCTTCAACCCTGTAAGATTACCAAGTTTTCCAGAGAGAGAATCCAGACAAGAAATATTCACATCACATTTAGATATACTTTCCATTTCACTGGTGCAAAATAGCAACTTAATAATCTGTTCTCAAAGAAAACAGAAGAGTCAACTTTATAAAAGTAAAACACCTTGCTGTGACTTAATCCTGTTTTAAAGTAAAACACCTTGCTGTGACTTAATCCTGTTTTAAAGTAAAATATCTTACTGTGACTTAATCCTGTTTTAAAGTAGAATATCTTACTGTGACTTAATCCTGTTTAAAGTAAAACATCTTACTAATATTACAGGGTTGAAGGTATGCTGGATACTAATATTACAGGGTTGAAGGTATGCTGGG